GGAAGCTGCTAGCTTAGTGCTTCACAGGCCTGGCAAAAAATGTTAAAGCCGGCCCTTGTGGTATCTGAGATAGCACAGCTTCCCCCTATTATTTAGAACAGGAAATTACTGTGGAAACTGTTCTTAAAAACTGTAAGCTCATCAGAGCAGGTGCCATATCTTCCTTTGTGTTTCCACAGTGCCTAGCACAATGGGACCCTGGTCCCAACTGGGATGCCAGGGAATACCACAATATAAATATTACATAATTAACACAACCGGAACCTGTAGGTACTATCTTTAGACTGAAGTGCCATCAATCAGAATATCACCATCCAATGGACTCCAAGATACAGTTTGTCTTATTTTCTCAGGTTTGCAATCAGATGGTGAATCTGCTCACCCTCCATACACATTCAAGAGTCTCCTTCCTCAACCAACTAGTCAACAAAATAGGAGAAGATAAAGACCAGCAAGACATACTTAACTAGCAGGTGTGACATGTGGAGTCACATGCATTCATCTGCTTCTTTACTGAGGTTGCAGGGAGGAAGGGGAAGTCTCCCACCTAGTTGTGGAGACACAAAGTAATCTGATCGATGTCTTGGAAGCAACATGAGAACAATGCTTCAGTCATCAAGTCGGGTAGAAGACAGCAGAAAGAGGAAACACCTGTATCTATGGGTAAGCTATTTCTGATGGCACGGAGCACTGGGATAGGATGTGTCCTGAGATAGGTAGGACTAACTAAGGGTGGACACAAATATCCCAGGCATACAGCAGGACAGGAATATTCAGACTAAGCCTGTATCAAGTATGTAAAAAATCCTTAAACAGAGCTATAAATTTCAATCCTTTGCAACATTGGCCAATGATAATATATCCATAGCTATCCCTTGCAAAAACTGCTCTTCTTTATCAGACTTGCCCACAATCCAGCACGTATTCAGTGCACATCTTCAGGGCTGCCAGGGGCAGTATCACATTTGGAAGGACTTTGCTGACTGGAGCCACTGTTGAGCATCTCATTGTTTTAATGCGGAGTTTGGAAATGTTTGGATTATACATACATCTGTCCCTTTAACTTACACCTTGGAGGATAAAGCTGAGCATTGTGCAGCACGCAAATGGAACATGGATGTCTCTCTCCATGGAAGACTCCCTCCTCCCCCACAGTAAATTAAATAGCTTGCTAGCTGGCTATCAATACAAACTGAAGCCCGTCTGCCACATACATACGTACGTGTGTGTATGTGTGTGGCACTGCTTATCCATCTACAAAACACGCCACATGCCAGCTGTCTGACTTACGCTAAGTTGGAAAAGAGGCAAGAGGATTGGGGTAGAGAGTGGGGGGAAAACAAAACAAACCCCCAGCACAGTTTAAAAGATTTCTTCCTGCTCACCGTTTTTATTTGCTTTTTTCCAGTTTCCATAGGAATTGTCTTCTCCCCCACTCTACACAGTGCTCCTTATTGTTAATAAGGCAACACTTGGTGTATATCCAGGAGTTAATTCTGAGTTTCCCTCTTAGGTACTCACCTACCCTTTTTCCGATTACTTGTTAACTCCCGAGCCAAGTTATTCAATGGGAGGCAAAGGAGCTCAGGTGGGATAGGTAGGGAGATGAGACTGCTTGCATCTCTCAGTTCTATGTGTCACAAGGCTCCCCCAAGAAGTCATATGGTAAATACAAAATGTTTTAATACCCACCAATCTATTCCAAAAATGCCACGAGACACACACAGAATCTCATTATGCATGCTGTCAACAGTGTGTCACCTGAATAGAGAAGTAAGTTTTTAAATTTTAACTGCATACACTAAATACTGTGATACATATATACTTTATTTGATTTACTGCTCCGCAATGCTTTTCTTCAATCTCTTGAAGGTAATTTTTCTCTAAAGCACAACTGCTTAATTGGCAAGTGTACAAAATGTAATTACATTGCGTACAAGTTACAATATTGCTTATGGGAATATCACTGTTCACGCATTCTGCTTTATTTTGTGTTTAATCTCTATTAAGAGATCTGTATGAAAATAGATAGGTGCTCCTGATTTTATAAACATGACATATCATTCAGTCATTTCCCTACTAATCCAAGCCTAAATGCAATCCAAAAAAAAAAAAAACCCATCTTGGATTAGTTCAGTACAGCTGAGTTAATAACAAAAGTCTTATATTTTCCTCTAAAGAAAGTTCAGTACTGGGACATCAAAAAAGCTGAACCTCTCTGGGCTTATGTTTGTCATGTCCATTATATGAACAAAATGGTAAGAGGCAAGAGCATTGTACAAAGGAATATTTGGCTTTTAAGGATATGAAACCAAAACCCTCAAAACATTTCCCAACAGGATCTTGGCCATCACATCTTTATTGTAAAAGAGGCATAAGAATGCAGTGCAGCTTTACAGAAATAGATGTCTAATGCCAACTCTGTGAATAGCACCTGATATACTGAAGTCAACAACAATCAATGAATGCGGCCTTTATCTTGTGAGCTCTCTTTTCTGAGCAGAGTATCAGATTAATAATACACATCTTTCTCTTAGTTGAGAGTCCTATCAGTCATTCAACCTGCAAGCTATTCTGCATTTGAGTATACTTGTCTTATGCCCCTAGATGACCTTCACTCGTCAGACTATCACAGTCCTGATTGCAAATGTATCCAGTTATGCCATTTTGCACTAAGAATTATTAACACCATAATAGGCCCTGATACTGCAAACACTTAAGTGTGAGTAATTGTACGCATATGAGTAGACCTGTTTGCAGATGGGCCTTACTGTGTACTCTGGTTAAATATAACAACATTGGTATTATACATAAGTGCCTTAAAGGTTTGTTTCATTTGCATGAATCTTGAGATTAATGTTGTTTGTTTGTTTAAGCTAATGCACATAAAGCCAAACGCCTAAAATGTCTTCAATTCAAGATCTGCTTTACTATTGTGTTTTTAATTCCACTGGCAAGTTCATATTTTGCTCCAATCTCACTGTAAAGAAATGAAGTTGTCCAGTCTACAATATTTTGAACTACTTAAAAAGTTACAACGTACATCAGTATTTGTTATTGTTTATCCAGTCACAGTTTGATCTGGTTTACTTCTTTCATTATGACACAGCTTTTAATATGTTCAGTTTTAGACTTAAAATGCGGTTCCTGTATATTCAACGGATGTCACGCAAAAAGCTTTAGTGCCTCAAAGGCTTTTGTGAAGTAAGTGAAATCCAGCTGTTGATTTTTTTTAAACTAAAAATAAATGTCTTTCTTGATAACTCCAGCCTCACCCTTAACAGCTAATGCTCAGCCGCACAAAGTGTAGATAAAAAAAAAGGATGTAAACATTCTTAGAGTGCTCTTTCTACAGTGTTTTGTGATGCATGATAAAGTATGATCTCAATACTATGTGGAGTCTTAGGAAGCTTAGAGTGCATACAAAAGGTTACAATCTCAAAACCCAACTTCTTACCCTGTCAGTTGGAAAGGTGCCCAGACATAAGTAACACTATTCAAAATCTCGCTTTAGAAGACTTGAACTGTGGTTTTAAATTGTTCATTTTTAATTGTTTTGTACTTGTTCTCTTTAAAATGCAACACACACTCTCTTTTTTGTTGCATTGGTCACACTATCACAGTTTATTTAAATTTAAGATCCATTTTAGACCCCATTTCAGTCATTTGTACTTTTTTTCAAAAGTTGATCATGGGTGCTGGGGGGGGCGGGGGTTCCCGCAATTATGATGGCAGCTAAAACGTGTTTTAAAGTTTAAACAAGTTCATTCAGTTGTGTAAATGACTTGACAATCCAGTAAGAAATTTTTTTCCAGACATTTTCTGCACTTAAACTAAAGAAGGAAAGTTCATATTTGACACGTGTTGTCCCACATATGGAATGTGACCTTTGCTAATTTCTTGTCTGTTTGAGTCCACAGTGGTATTTACCAGGTGCTGACACTGCAGATAGTTCATCATTCTCATTGCTGCAATAGATTTTTAAGATCTTGAGGACTTAACAATTGAGCAAAGAGAAGAGTACAGAATTAAGACTCTGCAATCTTTACTAAGTGTTATTCACTAAAGGACAGACTCTGCAAACTTTTACCCTTGTGAGAAGGCCTTATCCTATGTGAGTAATCCTATTGAAGTAGACTGGAGATGCAGGTCTACAGCACCTGTGGAAACCGAGCAATTTTCATTTAAATGTCAATCTTTTTATAGATGATAAAGTCAGAAGGGATCACTGTCATCACCAAGACTGACCTCCTTAATAACACAGGCCTTAGGAGTTCCCTGAATACATTCCTGTTTGAACTAGAGCCCATCTTTTAGAAAAACAACCAATCCTGATTTAAAAATTGGCAATAATGGAGAATCAACCATAAACTTTAGTAAATTGTTCCAATAATTAACTACCCCACACTGTTAAAAATTTGTGCCATACTGTTACTCTGATTTTGTCTAGTTTCAGCTTCCAGCCACTGGATCATGTTATACCTTTTCTGCTACATTGTAAAGCCCTATATTATCAAATTTATTTTCTCCACATAAGTACTTACAGACTGTGATCAAGTAACCTCTTAACCTTTTCATTGTTAAAATGAACAGACTGAGCTCAAGTGTATCACTATAAGGCATGTTTTCTAATTCTTTAATCACTTTGATGGCTCTTCTCAGAACCTTCACCAATTTATCAACATCCTTCTTGAATTGTAGACACCAGAACTGTACACAGTATTCCAGTAGTGGTCACATCAGTGCCAAATACAGAGATAATATAACCTCTCTACTCCAATTCAATATTCCTATTTATACATCCAAGGAATACATTCAACCTTTTGGCCACAGTGTGCACTGGGAGTTCATGTTTAGCGGATTTTCTATCCTCCACACCCCCCATATTTTTCTGTCTCTTAATCCCAGGATAGAGGCCCCCCTGCATTCCTTATTCCTAGATGTATACATTTACAATCGGCCATATTGAAACACAAAATATTTGCTTGTGTCCAGCTTACCAAGTAATCCTGATCATTCTGTATTAGCAGTCTGTTCTCTTCATTATTTACCACTCCCCCAATCTGTATGTCATCTGCAAATTTTCAGTGATGATTATGTTTTCTTCCTGGACATGAATCAAAATGTTAAATAGTATAGGACCAAGAACCAGTCCCAGAAGCACTCCATTAGAAACACCTGCTCAATTATGATACCCTGTTTACAAACTACATTTTGAGATCTGTTAGCCAGTTTTTAATCCATTTAATATGTACCATGTTGATTTATATCACTCTAGATTTTTAATAAAAATGTCATACAGTACCAAGTCAAATGGCTTACAGAAGTCTAAGTATATTACATCAACACTACTTTCCATAAATCCATGATGACTGACATTAATAATATTACCTTTCTTTAATTTTTTTTATATATTGAGTTCTGTATCAGACGTTCCATTATTTTGCTCTGATCAGCATCAGGCTGACAGGCCTTTAATTGCCCAGATCATACCATTTACCCTTTTAAAACACTGGCACATTAGCTTTCTTCCAGTCCTCCGGAACTTCCCCACTGTTGAAGACTTACTGAAAATCAAAATTAACAGTCCAACAAGCTCCTCAGCCAGCTCTTTTAAAACTCTCAGATGCAAGTTATCCAGACCTGCTGATTTTAAAAAGGCCTAACTTTAGTAACTGTTTAACATTCTCCTGAGTTATTGTTGGAATGGAAATTATTTCATCGTATGATATAAATGTATCATGTTTTTTTCCCAAATACAGAACAGAAATATGTATTGACCACTTCTGCCTTTTCTGCATTATTCTTGACAATTCTACCACTTCATTCTAGTAACAGACCAACACAATGTTAGGATTCTTTTTGTACACAATGCACTTAAAATACTCCTTATTGTCCTTCACTCTTCCAGCCATAGATTTGTCCTCATGTTCTTTGACTTCCCATATCAAATTTCTACAGTTCCTAGCTTCTGATTTATATTCATGACCATCTTGCCCTATTACGTACCTATGTTTGAAAATTTTGGCTGTACTGCCACAGATAGATACTTTTAAAAAAAAATGCATAAACAGCCTGAAAAACACCAGAACAAAGGCTGGAATGGAGGTAAGCGAAGGGATGCAACATGGAAAAAGGAAGTTTTGAGAATAGTTTTCAAGAAAGAGATTGAAGAGTCATGGTGTACCAGGTCAAGCAGGATATTCTCAGAATAAGGGGTGGCATGAGGAAATTCACATAACCAACTGTGGGAAGAGGTGACAATGGGCCTGTTCCTGTGAGGTGCTCTGGCCTCAATTCTCAATGAAATCAAAGTCAATGGGATATAAGGGATGCTCAGCAACCCGTAGGATAAAATCTCTTTGTCATCACTTCCCACAAGTGGCTCTGTATAATACTCAGGGTCAGGTGGGTCAAAGGGCAGTCCAGATCAGTGGTCAGAGTTCACATAAGCGGTTTGATAGCTAGGAGATCCAATCCAAGGAGAATGTACAGCGAGGTAGTTGGCAGGGTCAAGTGAGATAACAAGGCAGGGCCCAAGCAGCAACTAACAGGCAGTGGCTTGTTGCTCAGACAAGGCCAGAAAGGAAGCAAAAAGTCTATATATTGTCACCAATCAGAGTCAACATCATGTGAAGCAGGATGCGGAATCCTGGAAGCTGGCCCACCCACATCTGTGAATTCCGCAGTAAATGAATGCATTGGTGTGGTGTGATGGCCAAGGCTGCTTCCCAAGAATCCAGTGGGACTGGGTACAAGGCCAGGGTTTGACACCAGGATTCTCACACTCTGGATTTCCTCATGCTGCCCCCATCTGGGAGTATCCTGCTGTACCATGAGGTTTCACTCTTTCTTCAAAATTCCTTTTTCCTATGTAGCCTTCCATCACTCACTCCGCCCCATGCAACTTTATCTGTTTGATACCTTGCCAAGTAACCAAGTACTGACTCCCTGGGCTTGTCCAGTATCTCTGCATTAATTCTATGGGAGACTTATTAAGTTTGATTCCAGCTTCTGATACATGGTGCTCCTAGGATTCCATAGAAACAGCCAAGTCACCTGCAGCCAGACCATCAAGAACTGTGACTGCGTCAGATTTCATACTCTAAGCAAAGTCTGGCCTGGTGTTTAGATTAGATGGGACACCTCCTCAAAAGAAAAAAAGTCTGAGAAGATACATTGTGAGTTGTTTTTTGTGGATCAGCCTACAACTGTAATTCCACCTCCTATGGAGACTCTTCCAAATGCGGGATTATACTTCATCCTTCCATCACCAAAAACTTTTTCATCTCTTTATTTTTCATATTTTTGCTTTTCAAATAATGCACAAGAAACCATGTGGAAATAAACTGTGCATCAAAACAGAAGCGTCAATGTACAAAAGTTAGGAAATTCAGAAAGTGCTCAGATATATATAGTAACCTCAAAACTGTCCCCTTGCATGCATATGTTGCAGTACTGTCATTTGTTGCACAAAATGAATGGTATGGAAAAAAAAAGACAAAAATACTACATCTGTGCTTCTAATGTTAGAAAAAGAGTTTCTGTTCTTTTCTACGACATTATATTACATACCTTTTAGTTTGCCATAGTCCTCTGTTTGTGATCTTACAACTATTGTACTACGGCTACATCTACACTACGGGCTAGGAGTGAGATTCCCAGCTTGCACAGACATACTTGTGCTAGCTCTCATCTGAGCTAACACACTAAAAACAGTAGTGTAGCCATGGCAGCACGGAGAGTGGCAGCGGTGGCACCATGATAGCAGCCCCAAGTACAAACCCATCTAAACCTTGTGGGCACATACTCAAGGCTGCCAGCACATGCCACGCCTGCTGTCGCTGCTACACAACTATTTTTAGTGTGCTAGCTCAGATGAGAGCTATCACAAGTATGTCTACAAGAGCTGGGAATGACACCCCCGACTCATAGTGTAGACGTAGCCTAAATGAGCAAAGGGTAGTATGGCACATTGGGGGCAAATAATACGGTGATGTACAACAGGATTTCACTTATTTCTGTAATCTTAGCATTACACATATTTTGTATTCCTGCATTTCATATATGTTGCGAGATCGTGTAATGAAAGACCCTATTATAATATACACTAAAAAAGGAAGGAGGAAAACCATGGTTAATGAGGATACCCTAACACCTAACATTTTCTGACTCTCGGGTATGTAAACTCTCACCCATAGTGCTGCATTTTAACACTTCTGAACACATAATATAGTATGTACTAGTGGCATTGGCTAAAACATACAACAAACATACACAAGTTACAGAAGCTTCAGATATTCTGCAAGAGCATGGAAACCAGATGAAACACTTTTACACATAAGAGACTGAATTTAAACTTGGGGCCGATTAGTCTAACTTTAGTTTAGATCTGTCGACTTTTCAATACAACTCCCAATATTTGGGCTAAAATATTTGCTCAAGTTTCAGATGGGGTAAATGGCCTGGGATCAAAGTACCAATTGGTATCTGATTCTCTCCATATGCCAATCCCACCAAAAAGTTTTCACATCATAAACGTGCAAAAATCTGTTTTTTATTATCCCTTGTAAAGGATCTCTTGTATTCAGTGTTGCACATGTTTAAAGAGAAATTTACATTTTTCCACCAACTAACACAAATAAAGAACACACACACAAATAAAACTAAAGGGTAAACTGATAAAAACCAAGAAACTGACACAGAGGGAAACCTGTTGTTAACCTACCCTATTTGCACTCGGTATTACAGCACACATGCTATGTAAAAAAATCACCCACTGTTCAGAGACCTCTGCAATAACTAGACACAGCAGGGTGGGGTAAGAGATAGAATTTCAGCCATAATTCTGATGCTCCTGCCTTTTGCCAGTTTAGGCCATATTCTTAAGGCTATGTTAAAAACAGTCTCTTTATGTGCTGGAACTCGTCTGATTTTTCATAATTACACAGGCTTATTTCCCCCTGCCCCCCACAAATCTTGCCTGAACAGGAGGCCAGGTAAAGTCTCTGCTCAATATCCAGAACAAAGTTCCTCTGAAATACAAAAATTAGGCACTGGTAGGGCTGTGCGGTTTAGCAGACACATTTCAAATATGAGCCCTGGGATTTCCCCTTTCTAGGCCATACAACGGGAAGCATAAAAGTCTTAACACCAGCTGAACACTTTACAACAGCAATGCATAATTACAGTCAGCCAGAGTTCAGTTCTACAGCACTTGGGATCCTAGACAGGGGGCTTGCCAAAACAATTCCCTAGAAAGTGCCCCTTTCCCCCCGCAGCTGGTTGGGAGGGGGAAGGCAGAGACAGCGCATCCCAGAAAAGCACTAGGAGACAGCAAGGAATCCTACTGTCCCCCTCCTAGCTGATGGGAAAAAGGGAAGAGATCTACACCATTCCTGCTGACTAAGGGAAGACGACTATCGCCCAGGTTTTGTCACTCACGGGAGGACAGAGCACTGTAAGCCCTTTCCTCCTCACCCTGGTAGATGAAAGCTCCGTTCCAAGCCGATGGGTGAAGTGTGGGTATTCTATACTCCCATCTACCATTCTGGCTATTAATAGGGATGGGGCTCTCTCTTTTGTCCTCTCTTTGAAGTTGATTATGGGGGTGGAGGAGAAAAAGTCACTGTTGCCAGCTCCTTCCTTGTCCTGCCTATACTGGGCATCTCTTTCCACGGCCCCAACCTCTTATTCGCCATTGGCTCTTTCCTCCCCCACAAAACCCTGCTGCCTCTTTATTTAGAAAACAAAAAAGCAGTTTGTAAATGTAGACATGGCCTCAGTAAACCCAGGTAGGCTCATTTTAGAGTCTCCTGTGGCTTTGTGCAGACTTGCTTACCACAGAAGACAGCTGTATTTTCAGAACTGAATCAGGGCCTAAAAATATACAGGACAGCATTCATTTAATAGTAGTTATTTTTGGTAACAACGAATCATTCTACATTATTCCCAGTCTCATTAAAGCACTTGGCTTCTCATAAACATTATGTCTCCACTGCACACATTCTCTAACCACACTGTGGTTCAGGGGTCTAGTTAAGTAATAATTGGTATGCATTGTCGCAAATAAATATCAATTGATTGTTTGACAACATTACACAAGTT